ACTCTTTTCTTCATCCTCTCCTCATGATGGGGTTGTGCATTGTTTCTTCATGTTGGTGTGGTGGTGTGGAGACTGAGATGTCACACGAGGTTCCGGGCATGAGTAATTTATCTGTGGCCGCTTGAGCGTCCACCAGCCCAAAATTAGGCCACGCCCACTTCTGTGGAGGCCATGCCCCCTACGAGTACCTGGTGTGCGTGGGGGGTACAACCTGGGAGGAGAAGAAAATCAGCAAAGGTGTTGGGAGAAACAGGAAGAGACTCAGGGATGGTGGGCAGCCCAGGGTCCTAAAGGACTCCTGGGGCATGTACTAGGGGAAAGTGAAGTCCCAGGTTCAAATAATGGCTGACCTGGGAGGAGAAGAAAACTGGGCACTCTTTGGGATGAACAGAAAGAGGCTCTTTATATCACCTCTTTATTATTGTTGCTTCTAATTGTGATTTTGTCACTTTTTCTCTCATACTTTCTTGTGCATTGGTGACTAACTGTGCCATTGTTTCTTTGAGCCCATTAAATATCCTCTACACACCATGAGACAAAGTCATTCTCTGAGAGTTAATAGAGAAAGTTGATACTGGTAGAGCCTTCCTTGCTATTATTTTGACTTGCTGAATTTAGTAGGCTTTTATATGTCTTACTGTGTTTGCAGTTGCTCGTGTTAACCCTGAGGGCGAATCTTTGCAGTTTCCTCGAACCACAACCACTCTCCACTCTACCCCCTCCCCCTGTGTCTCTGTGGAAATTGCTCTCTTCGTTTCCTACCTGTTTTCGCCCAGTGATAGGAAGCATATATGTAAACAATGTAAGGTATTCTGAGTAGAGTTCAGAAGATGTGGAGGTGGGCATGATGAAATGGCAGAGGACAATTTTGGAGGCTGCCAGGAGCAAACTGGAAGGGAAGAGAACCATTTTCTGTTTTCAGAAAAGCCCTGGAGTTGTCAGTCAGAGAGGTTAACCTCACCTGGGAGGTTGGATAAGCAAGCAGCGGGTCTGAGATACCTAAAAATAAAACGTTTAATAAAAGAAAATACAATCAATTAAATCAGATAAATCAAATTTAAGAAAATAAATCAAATTACTGGAAGGTATCATGTTAAGCAAAGTAAGTCAGAGAGAGAGCAACAAATCCTGGATGATCTTGGGGCTGAGTGACAGTCAGTGTGATTGCTGCCTTGATAAATTGATCTATATATATCTGGAGATATTATAGCTTCATGTATGGTCAGAATTTACTTTTATAATCTAAATTAAATATTTTTCAAACTGAAAATTATTCTGTACTTGATCTTAACCAAAAGGCCAAGAAGCAATGCAAAACATTCTAAATGTCATAAAATTTAATGAGATCATAGTGTCAACATTAAAACCTTTTGAAGTTTATATTATATTTCAGGCCATTAACTTTCAAAAATTTAACTTTTCTCAAACAGGGGAGAATACAAAACCAAGACTGTCATGTAGTAAGTGATAAGTTCTTTAATACTGTCACTATCACTTTCACTGTCCTCCCGTGGTTAATCAATTTGCTCAAGCGGGCCCAATAACGTCTCCATTGTGACACTTGTTACTGTGTTTGGCATATCGAATGTCACGGGTAGCTTGCCAGGCTTTTCCGTGTAGGCGAGATACTCTTGGTAGCTTGCCGGGCTCTCTGAGAAGAGCGGAGGGATCAAACCTGGATTGATCAGGTTGGCTGTGTGCAAGGTGAACACCCTACCTGCTGTGCTATTGCTCCAGAATTATTAGGTGAAAAAGTAGGGAGACACCTTCCTACCCAGTTTGATGTTTTCCATGAAGCTGAAAATCAGTGTGCCTATAATGTCTTTATCAAAGACAGATTATTTTATGTTGACATTGCAGCATTTGCTAGATAGAATTGTATTACATATCACCATGCAGACTATCATAAGATGTAAACTTTGTACTTGTGGCTGGAAGAGAAGAATGTCGCTATGAATTTTTTTCATATGTGCTTATCTTGAATGGTTTAGTTTGAAACCTCAGTAGTACAAGTCTGTATAAGAGTGTCTTATCTGGTAAAAAAAAAACTGGAGAAGATCATTGAAGGGCTTTTATTCGATGATCTTTTTTCCACAATGATAGTGTCCCACAAACTTCCTTCAAGAAAAAGACGCAACTTTTTAAGTTGGAAGGCAAGGTCTATTTATACTTGCTTCATGCTACTCCTCAACATTAACTTGCTCTGTCACGAAGAGCTAACAGACAGGGGCTACTCGCCGCCTTCTGAGCTCGTCATATCCTTGCCTGCCTTGGAGAGTGCAGTAGCTCTTAAGTACAACTGCCTGGTACATGACCTTCCTTTTCCCAACTCTCCAACACAACCTGTACAGTGTTCTTGTTGTTGTTGTTGTTAGTCCATAGAGATTAACGGTGAGTTGGATATAGATATAAAGGTAAAGGTAAAGGCCCTCCCGTTGATCGTCGATTTGCTCGAGCGGGCCCAGTAACGTCTCCATTGGAGACTTTGTTGTTACTGTGTCTGGCATATCGAATACTCTCGGTAGCTTGCCGGGCTCTCCGAGAGGGGCGGAGGAATCGAACTCGGGTCGGCCATGTTGGCCGCTTGTAAGGCGAATGCCCTACCCGCTGTGCTATACAGTGGTTTTCTAGCTGTCATTGACCTTAGAGTTGTGAAATTAAACGCACACACGTTTGGTAGCAATAAAGCAAGCACGTTTATTAAAGCAAAGAGCACTGATAAAAACTATAAAAAGTGAGAGTGAGTTGACTATGCCAGTTGTACCGGACCCTGCAATCTCTAACACTCCTTTTTTTTATATTTATTTAATTTTTAATAGTGAGGCACCATGAAGTACAGTTGTAGACTTACACATTTTTGTGCTTGGGTTTCGATTATACAATGATCAAACACCCATCCCTCCACCAGTGCGCATTTCCCACCACCTCGGATCCCAGCATCCCCTCCCCCCACCCAGCCCCTATCCCACCCTGCCTCTGTGGCAGGGCATTTCCCTCTTTCTCCTTTTGAGTGCCGTGGTCAGCAAAAGAGGCATTGAGTGGCAATCATGCTTGGTCGTCAGTCTACCCTCAGCATGCTCTCCCATCGTGGGAGGATCCTCCCAACACCCTTTATTTGGTGTTCCCTTCTCTTTCTGAGCTCCCCCTTCCCCTAACATGTGTGGTTGTCCTCCGGGTCATTGAGTAAAATTCCTGGTACTAATCTCTGTCATACTTGGGTGTCTAAATTCTAAATTCTTTTTAAATTCTAGAACTTTAGGACGGATCAGGTGATTGCATCACACTGGAGCAGGGTTTTTAGGTGGGACTTGGGTGTATGATTGACAGATGCAGGTTATGTAACAAATGGCACATGCGCATGGAATTACCCACCCTCCACACCAAAAAACCTAAAGGCTATTCATTTCATAATGAGCTGTTATGGGCGGGTGGGGGAGTTGAGCTGAGGACAGGAGTTTGCTCTTTGAGCAAACCTGAGAGACTGTGGATCTTTGCCATCCATTCTTATGGTTTCTCAGACTCGACCCCTTTCCTGTAGGGCCCCGCCTGGATGCCCCAGCTGCTTTCCCACCTCACTGGTACTGGAATGAACACCTAAGTGCGCTAAGTAAAAGGATTCCGCAGATGACTGCCAGGAGTGATCCCTGATCCCTGAACCAGGAGGAAGCCCCAACCACATCTCCGCATTGCCCACTCCCCACCGTCAAAACCAAAAGCCAAATAAACCACCTTCAGCTGGAGAAAGTCCCGGGTTTTCTCGACATCAGAAACGGGCCTGCGGGTGGCTGAGGGCTACGTGGACACAACTACTGAACCACTCCAGCGGAGCAAGGAATTTCTGGGTACTGCATCTTTGGGGGAGCAGGCTTCATAGAACTCAGAGCCGGTTTCCACCTAGCCCAGCCCCTTTGTAGGAAGTACGGAGTGCTGAGGGGCATCAGGCAGGGTTGCAGCGCCTCTGTCTGGAGCACATAGAGAAGCTGAGAGTGATGAGTCTGGGCCTGGGTGCCGAAGGTGGGCATTTTTTCCTGGGGGGCTGCAAGGCTTTGTGCATACCCCTTTGAGTTCGCCCCACCCCCCCCACACACCCCCAACATCTTTTACCCACGCTTCTTTCATCATGAGCGTCTTCTGGCTTTTCTTGGTTGAGGCTATTTTGGAGGAAAAATACGCATGCTTGAATAACTCGGCTCTCTGGACGAATTCCCGGGGAAAGCAGCCCAGAAAAGCTCCGAGAGCGCAGAACCCAGCAGCTCCGACGGCCCCGGACACAGAGCCAGGGCGCAGCTTCCCTGCAAGTAAGTCCAAGAACTTGGCAGGTCGTTCCAAAGAAAGAAAAAATAATAATAAAAGCCACCAAAGACCCCATCTTCAACCAGATGCTGTTTTATTATTTTTTTTATTATTTCTCCGATCAGGGATTCTCCCCGGCGCTCTGGAGCTGGGTCCTCTGACTCCCTCCCTCTCCCCCTCTCCCTCTCCCACCCCCAGCCCCAAGTTCAGCTCACAGAACCCCGGGATGGATGGGGGTGGGGGTGGGGGTGGGGGGGTGGGGGGCGTCTGCCTCTCCACGCTGCCTTCAATTTCCCCGGCTCTCGCCTGCCCGGGTGCACGTTGGTGCCTCGACTTACCGCACCCGCCCGCGGACTCGGAGTGCGTGCGTCCCCCGGGGCTTTCGTTTCCTTCTGGAAGCAAACAAAGAGGCCCGAGTGCATTACGTAGGGTTCGGCCTTGCATTGCAACAAGCCTCGCGGTGGTTTGTCGAGCAGCGTCCCCACCCCCACCCCCCACCGAGGCACCGCTTGGTCCCCAGGGGCAGAGCAGCCCCCGCACCTCTGAGAACCTCAGCCTCCAGGCCCCGCCGCTCCCGGGCGGCCGGGGCGGTGTCCAGGGCTCGGATCCGGGGCCTCCTGGAAATCTACCGAGGGCCTTGCAGCAATCCCTGGCTCCTCCCAGGACCCGAGCGCTGGAACTTGGCGGCCCGGACCCCGCCCCGCCGCCGCCTCCGGTCTTAACCCCCCGGGAGCGGCGGGCGCGGCAGCGATGCGCGCGCTCTGGCTGGTGCGTCTCGGGCAGATGCTGCTGCTCTGGGGCTCGCTGAGCGCCGCGTGCCTGGCGGCCGCCTCCCTCCTGCAAACCCTCCTGAGGATGCTGGCGGGCTACGTGCGCCAGTGGCTGCGGCTGCGGCCCGTGCCGACCATCGACGGTGCTTGGCCCTTGGTGGGACACGCGCTGATGCTGAAACCCGACGCGAGGGGTAAGGGCCCGCCGCCGGGCGCTGCTGGGGTCCCTGGCAGCGAGCCACCCCGCAGGATCCTCCACCCTGTGCCCGGGTTCCCCCCCCCCCCCCCACCTCCGGGTGGTCAGAGGTGATTGGCAGCTCTGCCTGATACAGATCTATCACCCTCCACGGAGGGAGCAGATTCCCAGAGCTCTCTCCAGTGTCCCTGCTGACACCTCATCGAATCGCTAATGTCCTCAGATCCCTTTGAAATATGCGTCCTACACACACGGTCCCTGATCACTAGTCTACGGGGATCGCAGAGGGGACATGTATGTAAGCATGTATATTCTATGCAAGTAAACATATGCATCCCCAGGATAAAGCGATCAGGACAAACATCCACATGTAGGTATCTTTTTTTGGGGGGGTCACACCCTGAGATGCACAGGGGTTACTCCTGGCTCTGCCCTTAGGAATCACCACTAGCGGTGCTCGGGGGACCATATGGGGTTCTGGGACTCCAACCTGGGTCAGCCTCCTGCAAGGCAAATTCCCTACCCGCTGTACTGACACTCTAGCCCCCCATATGTTTATATCTTTCATGGAGGTATTGTGGATTTTCAGTGGTATTAATGTTTCAAGCACACACTTTTATGTGAACATTTTTTTCCTGTCTAGCATGGAGGGCAATCGATCTAAAGTCCAGTTCTGCTGTTTCTCTTGCCCACTTTATTTGCTTTTTAATCTCAAAACTGTCTGTCATTCTGTCTGCAATAGCCGCCAAAGACTACAGGGCTGAAAGGACCGCAGTATGGGGCAATGATTGGTTCTCAAAGCTAATGGGTATCCCATCCGTTCATTTATTTGTGGCTCTGTGCTCAGGGCTCACTTCCAGTGGGTTCAAGAGTTCATACCAGTATGTTACCAGCTGTACTATTGCTCCTGTCCCCTGCCATCTCCAGACTGAGCCCACCAGACAGTGACACAGAACAACTTGTCACTCTCAAGTTTCCCACACAACCCTGCAATAAACTGAGGGCAGGGTCTTCTGGGAAACTTAAAGAGATGCCTTGCTGAATAAGAGCAAATTGTGTGTTTTTTTTATTGATTTCGAAGAGATAGATCTATGTAATATTTTGCTGGTGGATAAAACTCATTTTAACTTCCGATGCACTAAAAAAAAACTGGTATTTACAATTCTGTATAGAACTCTCAACTTCATTTCCATGACTGTTTATTTTGAGATACCCAGAGTGGAAAAGATTTACCACCAAATGATTTATATATTTAAAACACCCCATGTCTAAACCACTTCCTCCTCAGACTATTAATAGTTTTTTAATATAATTTATTTGTTGAATCACCATGAGAGCAGTTACAAAGCTTTCGAGTTTAAGTCTCAGTCATATAATGATGAAACACCCGTTTCTTCACCAGTGCCCATTTTCCACCACCAAAACCCCTAGTGCACCCCCTATCCCACACCCCCCCCACCTGTATGGCACATGATTTTCACATTACTCTCTCTCTCTCTACTTTGATTACATTCAATATTTTGACATCAAACCTACCATTATTATTTGGGATTTTACCCCAACACTCACATCCGCCGAAAAGGCAACATTAGACAATTTGTTTTTTATTGCTGATTTTGAATAGCATATCATGTTGCCGGTAGTGGCCACTCGATTTTGGAATTCTGATATCTTAATAATTAAATCTGGAGGGATTTCTGCCAAAAGCCGCTGGGTTCCAAGATTTATTTCCTAGTCTCTGGGGTCATGGTTTGTTGAGTAGTTTGTGACCTGCGACTCAGGATCTCGAGATTATTAATATTTTACAGACTGAATATTAACTCCAAAAGTAGAATTTCTTTTCAAATTTTGTCCACCTAAAGAAATATGAATACAAATAACAAAATAGGAAATTAATACTCAAGAATAGCTGAGATCAGTACCAGGAGGATTACTCCATGGCTTAGAGGCCAGCCGGACATTCTAGGGGAAAGGGAAGCTCAGATAGAGAAGGAAGCGCCAAATAAAGGGTGTTTGAAGGATCCTCCCAGGAGGGGAGATGCATGTTGAAAGTAGACTGTGAACTGAACATGATTGCCACTCAATGCCTCTTTTGCAGACCACAAAACCCAAAAGGGGAGAGAGAACAAGGGGGAATGCCCTGCCACAGAGGCAGAGTGGGATGGGGGCAGTGGGTGTGGGAGGGGTACTGGGATCCATGGTGGTGGAAAATGGGCACTGGTGGAGGGATGGGTATTTGATCATTGTATAATTGAAACCCAAGCACAAAAATTTGTAAATCAACAACTGTACCTCATGGTGTTTCACTAATAAAAATTTTTTAAAAAGTAAAAGATTTCAAGTAAAAAAAGGAAATATGAATGCAACATATCATATTCAGAAATATGACAAGGCCTTTCAGATGTCTGTGGCTAAAATACTAAAAACTCTTACTTGTAACAAGTGATCAGAACTATTTCAAACAATCTCAAAAGCTGTAATAGTAAATTCCCAGTGGTGCTGGATTTAGTCTTACTATTGTTAACTGGGCTTTCTCTTTGCCTAGGAGAAGTTCTAAGGATCCAGTGTTGGCTACTAGTCAGTCAGCCCTGGAGGCACACTTCTCTTCTTAGCTCTTCCTAACAGTCGAATGCGATCTCATTTCCTAGGATCAGTCAGCAACTAATTCAATCTTCCCTCACCTTGTTGGACATAAAACCCCATACCCTGTGTAGCCTTTGTTTGATTGGTTTTCAAAGCCCTAGACTCTGTATCCTCATCCTTTAATCCCAGGCTATCTTTGCCCATGTGTTCCCAGGGGGAAACCTGGGGGTGCACTCACCCACATGGTAGTCCCTGATTGAGATATTTGCCATGGCTTCGTTTTGCCTGTGGTCCCGCTGCCATCTCCACTGTCTGGTGAATCCAACAGACAGTGAGACAGAACAACTTGTCACTCTCAAGTTTCCCACACAATCCTCATGCTGTAGTTGGGATTTTCCCATTCCAATATCACGGTCACAGCCCTCATCCTGGCTACTTGGATTCTCAACATTTTTTCAAGAAGTAGAAGCTTCCTGTGGTCCAGTCTTACCCAAGAGCTCTCAGACTTCATATACATGAGTGTTGGGGCTAAAGTACAAGTCCTACTCTGCTAGCCCTCACAGAAATTTCCAGCTGTTCCTAAAGCTCATAAGAGAAAAAAATCGCACATCTGTATCCCTTCAAACTTGTCTCATCTCCCAATGTTATCATCCCTGGTCCTATGTCTGTGCTGAACCCCTGGGGGATTTTCAGGCCCTGTGTGTCTGCTAGGATGGTCCCACTGCTGCTTGGTTGACATTCTCTCTCCCAGCCCCATTTCACCTTTCCACCTCAGAAAAGTCCAACTCATCAGTGCTTCCATGCCATTACATCCCTGTATTTCCCAGTTGTCTCCATCAGTCAGACTTAAACTTCTGTTTTAGCACCACTTCCCCTCTTAGGAACTGTGATTTATTCCAGAAGTGACCACCTCCCAAGATGCTTAGTTCTTGAGAGTAGCGGTTGGGTCCATTGGAGGTGTCCATTTAGTGCCTGTATATCCAGGGAGATGAAGGTAACACCATCATATTCACTCCCATTTTTTTTTTTTAATCTTTCTTGGCGGTTTCTTTTTTTTTTTTTATCATTTTTTTTATTAGTGAAACACCATGAAGTACACTTATAGACTTATAAATTTTTGTGCTTGGGTTTCAGTTATACAATGATCAAGTACCCATCCCTCCACCAGTGCCCATCCTCCCCCACCACGGGTCCTAGCATCCCTCCCATCCCCATCCTCCCCCCCACCCCCCCGTCCCACCCTGCCGCTGTGGCAGGGCATTCCTCCCTGTTCTCTCTCTTTTTTTGGGTACTGTGTTTTGCCAGAGAGGCATTGTTCACTCCCATTTTTGAACATGTGCTAGGAAACCGATTCTCAAAACCAACTACAATTTTTTTCTGATCTAATCCTTATATTTTCTCCACTTCTCAGTAAAATGCGTTAGTTTAGTTTAGTGATTCTTATATATGGGCTTGAGCGATAGCACAGTGGGTAGGGCGTTTGCCTTGCACGTGGCAGACCTGGCCGAGCCAGGTTCGATTCCTCCGCCCCTCCCAGAGAGCCCTGTAAACTACTGAGAGTATTGTGCCCGCAAGGCAAAGCCTGGCAAGCTACCCTTGATGGATTCAAAATGCCAAATATACCAAACACAGTAACAAGTCTCACAATAGAGATGTTACTGGGCCTCGCTTGAGCAAATAGATGAACAACGGGAGGACAGTGCTACAGTGCTATCATGGATTCTTATATTTATAATAATTATTAGTCCATATTATTTGATTTCATCTACTAATCCAATTCTACCACTGAGACTCATACAAACTTTTTCTACATTAAAGGAAATACAAACATAAACTCTCTATGTATTTTATATATTGTCTTATTTCCACCAACAAAATAAATTTTAAATCTTTCTTCAGCATCGAAACCTCTTATTCTGACTCTCTTCAGAAATTCCTTCAAGATTTCTTACTCTCCAGCTTAAAAAATAAAACCTCCTCTAATTTTAAAAATTTTGTTTATTGAGCTGGAAGGATAGTCCAGCAAGTAAGGTGCTTGCCTTACACATGATCAACCCAGATTCAGTTCCCAGCACCCCATATTGCCCCTGAACCCCTCCAGGAGTAAACCCTGAGCACTGCTAGGTATGGTCCAGAATAAAAAACAAATAGTAAAGACCCTCCTGTTGATCATCGATTTGCTCGAGCGGGCCCAGTAATGTCTCCATTGGAGACTTTGTTGTTACTGTGTCTGGCATATTGAATACGTCACGGGGAGCTTGCCAGGCTCTGTCGTGCGGGCGAGACACTCTCAGTAGCTTGCCGGGCTCTCCGAGAGGGGCGGAGGAATCGAACTCGAGTCGGCCATGTTGGCTGCGTGCAAGGCAAACGCCCTACCGCTGTGCTATCGCTCCAGCCAAAAAAACAAATATATATATGTATATATGTATATATATAATTATTTTAGACCTACAGGACAGCAGCAAAATAGTTCAGAGTATTCACACATACGCTGTATTCCGCTTCTTCTAATGATAAGTAACACAGATCCTACATAGTTATCTGTGGCACTGTATCACTGTCTTGACCTTGTTCATCGATTTGCTCAAAAGGGCACCAGTAATGTCTGCATTGTGAGACTAGTTACTGTTTCTGTCATATTGAATGCTCTACGGGGAGCTTGCTAGGCTCTGCCGTGCAGGAGGGATACTCTTGTTAGCTTGCTGAGCTCTCAGAGAGGGACAGAGAAATCAAACCCGGTCGGCCGTGGCTGCGTGCAAGGCGAATGCATTACCCAGTGTGCTATCACTCCAGCCCATATAGTTATCTAAACTACATAATTAACATTTGCATAAGATCATTAACAAAACTACGGCCTTGATTTGGGTTTCACAGATTTTCCTAGATTCAATCCAAGATCCCACATGGTATTATGATTGCATTTTCTAAATCTTTTTAAATCTGTGATAATTTTTCAGTGTTTCTTTGTCTGTCATGGCTTTGACATTTCTCATGAGTACAGGTCATGTAGTTGTAAAATGTCTCTCAGTTTTGATCTGTCTATTGCTTTCACATGATTGGATTCATGGATTTTTGACAAGAAGATCATAAAAATGATATTGGAAGTATTTTCTGTAACATCTGCATCATGACAGAGATTCCCAGTCTTGGCACTTTTATTCATAGAAGATTAGAATTTCTGACTCAGAATATAAAGACGATATAGGAAATAAAAGGCACCCTAGTTCAAAAGAGGTAAAATTGTCATTATTTGCCAGTGACACAGTCACTGCCCTCCTGTTGTTCATCAATTTGCTCAAGCGGGACCAGTAACGTCTCCATTGTGAGACCTCTTGTTACTGTGTTTGGCATATTGAATACTCTTGGTAGCTTGTCAGGCTCTCCAAGAGGGGCAGAGGAATTGAACCTGGTTCGGCCGGGCTGGCTGTGCGCAAGGCAAACACCCTACCGCTGTGCTATCACTCCAGCCCGTGACACAGTATTATATATATATACATATATTATATATACACACACATATATAAACCCTAAAGACTTCACAAAAATAAAGTTACAATAAATGAATTCAATAAATCTAAGATCAATACACAATCTCTGATTGCTTTGCTTGACACTAAGAATGAACAGTGAGAAAGTGAGCTTCAAAAAAACAATTATTTATACTTGCATAAAATACCTAGGAATAAGTTAACAAGTATATGAAAGACACGTAAAATTATAAACAATAAGATATATATGAAAGAAATTAAAGAATATCCAAAAAATGTAAAGATGTTGCATGCTCATGGTTGAGAAGCATTAATATTCATACATGCAGCCAACATGGCCAACCCGAGTTCGATTCCTCCACCCCTCTCGGAGAGCGCAGCAAGCTACCGAGAGTATCTCGTCTGCACGGCAGAGCCTGGCAAGCTCTCATGACGTATTCAATACGCCAAACACAGTAACAACAAGCCTCACGAAGGAGACGTTACTGGGCCCGCTCGAGCAAATCGATGAACAACCGGAGGACCGTGACTGTGACAGTGACTGTCCCAAACATACTTAGACACAATATAATCACTATGACATTTTAAATGACATTTTCACATAAATTGAGAAAATTTATGAAAATCATCACGGATGATGCCAAACAGAAAGAATAATAGTGAGAAGAAAGGAAAGAGTTGGTGGATCATACTTCCCAATTCTTTTTTATTTTTCCTTTTATTTAAAAAATTTCATTAGTGAAACACCATGAGGTAAAGTTGTAGACTTACAAGCTTTTGTACTTGGGTTTCAGTTATACAATGATAGAGTACCCATCCCTCCACCAATACCCATTCTCTACCACCAGTGATCCCAGTATCCCACCCACCCCCCAACCCCCCCATCCCATCCCGCCTCTGTGACAGGGCATTCCCTTTTGTTCTCTCTCTGCTTTTGGGTGCTGAGGTTTGCAAAAGAGGCATTGAGTGGCAATCATGTTTGGTCTATAGTCTACTTTCAGCATGCATCTCCCATCCTGGGAGGATCCTCCCTTTACTTGGTGTTCCCTTCTCTATCTTTTCCCATAGCACGTTTGGCTGGCCTTCAAACCATGGACCTCCTGGTACTTATCTCAACTATTCTTGGAAGCTAGTCTTCTATTTTGTTACTTTATATTCCCCAGATGAATGCAATCTTCATATGTCTGTTCCTCTCACTCTGACTCATTTCACTTAGCGTGATACTTTCCATGCAGTATTATATATATGTCAATTTCATGACTTAATCTTTTCTAATAGCTGTGTAGTATTGCATTGTGTAGATGTGCCAAAGCAACTTTACTATACAAGTCTATTGTTTCTAGGAGTTTTTTCATAGAGATTTCAGGGTTCTCTAAGTTTAGTATCATGTCATCTGCGAATAGTGAGAGCTTGATTTCTTCGTTTCTTACCTGAATGCTCTTAATATCTTTTTCTTGCCGGACCGCTATTGCAAGTACTTCCTGTACTATATTGAACAGCAGTGGAGAGAGTGGGCATCCTTGCTTCATCCCTCAACTTAGAGGGAAGGCTCTTAGTTTTTCCCCATTGAGGATGTTGCTTGCCATAGGCTTGTGGTAGATGGCTTTAACTATATTGAGGAAAGTCACTTCTATCCCCGTTTTGGCGAGAGTTTTCATTATAAACAGGTGCTAGATCTTGTCAAATGCTTTCTCTGCATCTATTGATATGATCATATGGCTTTTATCTTTTCTTTTGTTAATATGATGGATTATGGTGATAGATTTCCAAATGTTAAACCATCCTTGAATACCCGGGATGAATCCCACTTGGTCATGCTGTATGAACGTTTTCATGAGTTGTTGAATTCTATTTGCTAGTATTTTTTTGAGAATCTTCGCATCCATGTTCATTAGGGATATCAGCCTGTAGTTTTCATTTCTTATGGTGTCTTTGTTTCCTTTTGATATTAGAGAGATAAAGGCTTAATACAAACTGTTTGTGAGAGTTTCTGTTTCTTCAGTTTCCTGGAAAAGCTTGAGAAGAACTGGCGATAGGTCCTCTTTAAGTGTTTGATAGAACTCACTAGTGGAATTCGCTAGTTGTCCGTCTGGACCTGGGCTTTTGTTTTGGGGAAGACTTTTCATTACAGTTTTAATTTCCTTTATTTTAATAGGACTGTTCAAGTATTCTAGATCTTCTTGATTCAGCCTTTGGAGATTATAACAATCCAGGAATTTATCCATTTCTTCTAGGTTCTCTTGTTTCGTGGCATATAGACTTTCAAAGTAGTCTCGATGATCTTTTGAATTTCTTTGGTTTCTGTTGTGATATCCCCCTTCTCATTTCTGATTCTGTTTATTGGGGTTCTCTCTCTCTATTTCTTTGTGAATATTGCTAGTGGTTTATCTCTCTTGTTTATTTTCTCAAAGAACCAGCTCTTGGTTTCATTGATCTTTCACATTATTTTTTGAGTTTCCATATCATTGATTTCTGCTCTAAGTTTTATGATATCTTTCCTTCTGCCTGGTTCACACTTCCCAATTCTAAGAATACTACAAAAGCACAGTAATCAAACAGCATAGTATTGGCATAGAAACAGACACTTGAGCAAAGTAAACAAAAGATAGATCTCAGAAATAATGCTATGTAAATATGGTCAACTCCCTATGTCAAGTGTTAAGGATACGCAATGTGGTAAGGATAGACTTTTCAAAAAGTGGTGTTGGAATACCTGGATACTCCCATGCAAAAGAATGAAACAGAAGTACTCTCTCAAAATATATTAAAGGTTTGAAAGCACATCCTAAAAATAAAACTCAGAGAAGAAGCACAGGCAAATATTTTTCTTCTTTTTCAGATGTTAATAGTTCCTTAGAGAAATTCTCAAAAGGCCTTGAGATCTTTGAGAAGCTGAAGGAATAGCAGGTCTGGAGCGTTTATGGGGGTTGGAAGAGCAGCGACTTCCAGGGCTGAAAAGAGAGGACAGGCTTTCCTTCCTAGGAAAGGAAGCATAAGACATGGTAGATGGAAGCATTCAGGATTCTTGGGAATACACATGAAAAGGTTTACTGTCAGCACCCAATTAGTGTGGTATTTCTCATTTAGTGAGGTTGCTTCCAATGTGTCAAGTCATTTACGTTACATTTATTCCTTCCTTCCTTCCCTTCTTCCCATCATGATTTACAACACTGTTCATAATAGAGTTTCAGGTATACATTGTTGCCACATCAATCCCACGACCTGTCAACTTCCTTTGATGTATGTCACATGTTCCCTCCCTACCCCAAATCTGACTTCTTGACAATCAAAATTTTTTTAACACATTTTAGCCACCACGGTGGTTTACAAATCTGCTAATAATAACGTTTCGTGCATAAAACCTTCTAGCAGCACACATCCCTGGAGGGTCTGTTTCCCTCCCCCCTTTTAATTTCATTTGATTTAATTGAGGCTGTTTGTTTTTAAGAAATGAGAAAACTGTGATATTTAACTGAATTGCCCAAAGTAAGTTAATTAAAACCACCAAATGGCATAATCAGTAACTTGTTACAAAATTTTTTTTGTTCTTGAAATTAAACTGAAGTGCTTTTTCTCAGAATTTTTTCAGCAGCTTATTTTTTACACTGAAGAGTATCGACAAACGCCACTACTGAAACTCTGGCTTGGGCCAGTGCCTGTGTTAGCACTTTATAATGCAGAAAATGTGGAGGTGAGTATATATATCAGTATAAATATTATGCACATTTGACAGCATAAGAATCTTAGCATAATAAATGGGTCAATATAATACATCAGTATAAATCTAATACACATTTGATGTATAATAATAAATGCAGCAATGTATCCTTAAGGTTCACTGAATTCTGTATCTCAAACACTGAATTGAACATTTTTGGTGACATAAAAACATTTAATGCTTTCCACATGTGCTTTGAATCCTTAGTTTGTAGATGTCTAAGCACATTTGTTACCAAGTCTCAAAATGTTTGTTTCCCCATTTTCAGAAGGATATAGTTTTCTTTAACTCTGTAAAAGTTTTATACAACTATGTATATAGTTATATATATATCTACATATGTATGTATACATATGTGCACATATGTATACATGCATACATATATATAGTACTATGGAATCGATTATTCTGTAGGTGAGCACAAGTTTTGTACCTTGTACTGTCTTATGATTCTGAACCCCCCAAAAACAGGAATTTTCCCTCTTAAAAAATGCATCTCAATCTCATATCTCTATATATTATAATTGTATTCTTCCAAATTCATTTTCATAGCATGCCAAATTAATTTTCTTAACGTTCCTGATAGTAAGAAGGCAGGTATTGTTAAATCCATATAACTCAAATCACTCCTCACAAACACTGTAGGTCTGGGAGTTGGGGAGATGCCCAAGGGGCTGGAGTGCTTACCTGGCACAGGTCCCCGGGGCCCCCAAACTGCATGGCCTCCACAGCACTGCCCTGAAAATACAAGAGACAAACAGAAAATAGTGTCAGCCCAGGGATACGTTTTAAATGGTAGTGCACATGTCAGCATACTGGGTTGAGTTCCCAGCTGTTCATATCCCCTTCAACAGCAATGCCACAGGACTGCCAATGTAGGGCAAGGTTGCAGAACAAAATATAGTGAGTATCTTTTACATATTACTGTGATGCTAGAGGAACTGTTGTGTTGTCGGAATTTCTTTGATGAGAAAGTGTCAAGGAGTAAAAGTGAGCAGAGCAGAGCTTCTATTCTGGAACTAGGTTACAGAACAGAATTCCCTATGGAATAGTGCTGGGATATGCCAGTTTTATAATGAGGTTCAAATGTTGGCGTTTCTCTCGTACCACCAGCTAGAATCCTGGTTCAGAGTAGGCAGTGAAGGCCCAGACAGAAAAGTTCAACTGCTGCTGGCTCACGTATTTTGGTGTATGTGGGGAGAAATCTCTCCAGAGCAAGAACTTTTTGGGTCACACCCGGCGATGCTTCTGGGGTTACTCCTAGTTCTGCATTCAGGAATTACTCCTGGTAGAGCTCGGGGGACCATATGGGATGCCAGGGATTGAATCCTGGTTGGTCACATGCAAGACAAACACTCTACCTGCTATACCATCACTCCAGCCCCTGAGATGTGTTTCTGAGTTCATCCTGAACTCCAGTTCGCTATTAGATCATTCCTGAGCTGCCCCCTTGCTTAAGAAATGACTCACTTGGTTTGTAATTCATGGCAGGAGCCCTGGAATCTCCTTGGATATTTTCCTTTTATTCTACAACATTCAGTGCCCAAGTCTAAATGACCGTTGTATGTTCAAATCTCTACTTGGATTTCTTTGAAACATAGGAATAAAACTGAATTACAAGTAAATAAATGCCATAAAATAAAATGTTGCTTTAAAAAGTTGCTGTGTTCTGGCCAAGCATTATTATCATTGAGATTGTACTGATGCCTCTGATATCTATCTCAAATACTTTTCTTTCTCTTCCTAAGACAATTTTAACTAGTTCAAAGCAAATTGACAAGTCATTTATGTACAAGTTCCTAGAACCATGGCTTGGCCTAGGACTTCTTACAAGGTGAGTTTCCATGTGTAAATTGTCTTATAGAAACGATGCATCTCGGGGTAACTTATTACATCAGGAACTGATGGGAGAAAGTTTTCCTGAAGCAAGAATATGCTGTTGGAAAATAAGGGGGGAAAACTGGAAAATATGATTTCACTAGCAATTAACCTTTGACAAGCACGAGTCCAGGACTTAGAGAATTTTCAGCCACTATTGCAATAGTGATGAGCCCTTATTCCAGAGGAAATGCAGAGTTAGGAGGCCTTGATGTGTAAATGGGTGAAGATGAACAGCCTTTGGAGAAGAGACATAACTTTAAAGAAAAAGGCAATCAGTTACACACATACTATGAAAAAAACCCCAGTTCACCATCTGGCATTCAGAATGAAGACTCCACCTTCTGGAGGCCTATCAAGACAAGCATGGGATCCATGAGATACTCTGAAGAACTCAAGATAGATCACTGTAGCATGGAGCATAAAGAAGGCTCTATTAGAAAGACTAATGGAGGAGTGGAAAGAGTCTAACTTTGAGAAACTTAAAATTTAAAAACTTAAACACAAACTTTAGATTTTTAATAAGTTTTCTTTAAAAAGAAGTAATATTGTTTGATACTTCATGTACACCTCCTGTATCTATGTAAGGATCTTTGTTTCTTTGAGCAATGCATTTGTGATTATGTAGATTAAGCCACCTTAGGAGATTTTTGTTGCTACTCCTTATATTTATACTTTGTTCCAAGTGTCACTTCTCTTCTGTCTATCATCATGTTGTGTGTTTCGTTCTAGTACGGGAAAAAAATGGCGCTCCAGGAGGAAAATGTTAACTCCCACTTTCCACTTTACAATTCTGGAGGACTTCTTAGATATCATGAATGAACAAGCCAATATACTGGTTAATAAGCTTGAAAAGCATGTTAACCAGCGGGCATTTAACTGCTTTTTCTACATCACTCTTTGTGCCTTAGATATCATCTGTGGTGAGTCTCAGTGATTTCTCTCTACCGCTGTGCTGTAAAGAAGAAATGGCCCCAGAGAAATATAACAAGACTTGACAGTAGAGGATCGGAAAAGACATTAGGGCTTGTCAGAGCTCCTACTTCTAAACGTGCTGAGAAGTATCGACAGCTCTTAGAACTTGGGACAGAGCAGTCAGAAAGACAACCTGCCAGGCCTTTCCAGAACAGATCAGGAGCTGGGAGGTGGAGAAATAAAAAACCAGTAGAGGGGCAGAGGAAGGAACACATTTCAAGTCCACTAGAACAGAACAGTTTGCACATCTCTTTTCAAGAGTGGGCCCTGGAGGACCGATGCCAGAAACATGCAGGAGTTGAAAGGCGATTTCTCAACATGTTTTACAGAAACAGCGATGGGCAAGAATATTGGTGCTCAGAGGAATGATGATTCCGAGTATGTTCGTGCAGTTTACAGGTAAATGGAGTCCTTTAGATTGTTTTAAATTATAGTTACTATTCGGCCAGCACGCTGGTTCAAAGGGGCTGGAGCGTTATGGCTGTATGCAGAGACATTGAGTTGGGTCCCCAACATTTCATGGTCTTCTGAGACCACAAGCACTTCTTGGGAACTCTCTCAAGTTTGCTGGCATTATTAGTAACAAATAATTGATATTAATTTATTTTATATATTTTTATTGTATCGAAGGAAACAGTAAGAAAAATCAACCTAATCATAACCAAGTGTGTTTTCTATATGTGTTTTAATAGTAGAAGAATGTTTGTATAAATTTTGGTACACTCAGAATATACAGCATCTTTCAAATGATTGGTCTTGTTTTGATATTTTGTTATTCTGGAGAAAAGTGAGTTGGACCACACCTGATGATGCTCAAGGCTTACTCTGTGCTCTGTGTTACACTTCTGGCAGTGCGTGGAGGACCGTATTGGTACTGGGGACAAACTGGGGTTGGCTGCATACAAAACAAGAGCCTGAATCTCAGGACGATTTCTTTAGCCCCAAATGATAGTTTTAAAATGTAATGGAATAATATATTGTGACTCGGTGACAAAAAAGATGAAAACATTTTAGTACTGAAGCCACCAGTACAAGAAAACTATAATAAGAAAAACTAAAGGATACTATACCAAAATGTTAACTATGACTATTATGTTATGTTTATATGCTTTTCTACCTTATTGTGCTTCAGTTTCTTTGTTATAGATTCACAATTTTATGGGCTGGAGCGATAGCACAGCGGTAGGGCGTTTGCCTTGCACGCAGACAATATGGCCGGCCCGAGTTCGATTCCTCCGCTCCTCTCAGAGAGCCCGGCAAGCTACCGAGAGTATCTCGCCCGCACGGCAGAGCCTGGCAAGCTCCCCGTGACGTATTCGATATGCCAAACACAGTAACAACAAAGTCTCCAATGGAGACGTTACTGGGCCCGCTCGAGCAAATCGATGATCAACGGGAGGGCCTTTACTTTACTTTATACAATTTTATGAATGTGAATTAATAACATTTTATTTTTCTCATATTTTCTGCAATGAATGTGTATTATTTTAACTAAAACAATTGGTTTCACTTACAATTATTCAGCTATTAAATGGTAAAACTAGGAGTTGATTGGACATTTCCTATATTAAGGAAAGAATTATTTCACTTTCTTAAATATTTACTAGCTTTAATCTGTCATTCACTGCAGAATGTTCTGCTCAGTTTTATTATGTAACTAACAATACAATGGGAGATGGGCATTGAAACAAAGAATCTTACAAATAATAGTAAATACTTAGAACAGATAAATTTGGCATTAGAGAAGAAAAAAGTGAAATAACATACAGATTGAGTGGCTAGGAAATGTACCATAAATAACTGACATCTAATCAGGTCGTGAAGATGATGTACAAAGGAACCTTTCTGCCCTGTCACTGGAAATGGTGAGTAATAATAGGCAACATCTGTTGAATGGGGCAGTCTCTTTTTCTTGTTAGTCCAGAGGAGTGATGAAGCAATGATTTGTCATTGAGAAGGGACAGATCTCAACCTAACTGGTGATACAAGTGTCACAGATTGCCTTGAGAAGCCAGGACGCTCCCAGTGGAAACAAGCAGACATATGCTGGTTAGCTAGAAGGGAAGTTTAATAAGATCCTGTGCTTTCCTCTATAGAAATAATCAACATTAAATTTTTTGATCAAATGTGTTATAGTAACTCTGGACTGGGTCACTTTGAATGAATTGTGGCGCCCGTAGTAGTCTTTATAAAGGTAAAGGCCCTCCCGTTGTTCATCGATTTGCTCGAGTGGGCCCAGTAACGTCTCCATTGGAGACTTTGTTGTTACTGTGTCTGGCATATTGAATACATCACGGGTGGCTTGCCAGGCTCTGCCGTGCGGGCGAGATACTCTCGGTAGCTTGCCGGGCTCTCCGAGAGGGGCGGAGGAATTGAACTCGGGTCGGCCACGTTGGCTGCGTGCAAGGCAGACGCCCTACCGCTGTGCTATGATTTGTCATTTTCCCCTTATTAACACCATAGGGGCCAGTCACTGAGTAGGTGCTCAGGAAATATATGTTAGATGTATCAGCTGATGTATCCTTACTGTTTTCATAGGATGAGTGATATGATACATCGAAGAATGAAGATGCCTTGGCTCTGGCCTGACCTCTGGTTCCTTATGGTTAAAGATGGGTGGGAACACAAACGGAGCTTAAAAATTCTCCATAATTTTACCAACAAGGTAAGTTTTTTATTTCTTTTGATTGCAGCAAAATATACACAAATTTTTACATATTTATCATTCTAAATGTATGATTCCAAAGTATCAAATGCACTGGCATTATTGTCTATCTATCAGCTTTATTGTTTCCAGAAATTTTAGAAGTCCGTGATTTATATATTGTGTCCCAATACCTAGTCTGGAGCGATAGCATAGCAGTAGGACGTTTGCCTTGCATGCAGCCAGCCCGGCTGAGCCGGGTTCAATTCCTCTGCCCCTCTCCGAGAGCCCGGCAAGCAACCTAAAGTAGCTCACCTGCACGTCAAAGCCTGGAAAAACCTGACAAGCTACCCGTGACATCTTCAATATGCCAAACACAGCAACAAAAGTCTCAAAATGAAGACGTTAGTGGACCCTCTCGAGCAAATTGATGAACAATGGGAGGACAGTGTTTGTTTGTTTGTTTTGTCCCTATACCCAGTGTTGTATCATGGAGCCTGCTTCTCACCAGAGGAACACTGAATAATGATGAAAAATAAGACAGTATGATTAATTCTAAGTTACGTATTCACCTACTACTAAGATCTTGCTAGATGCGAAATGCTACCAATTGTATATAATATTCGTATGTGTGCTCCCTATCCGAAAGGAGTTTCTCTAGCAGAAGAGGTTGTATGTGAGCAGATAATTTCGGAAAGTGACATGAGGGGATGGAGAGATGGTACACGTACAGGAAATATGGTTCTTGCCTGGCACATAGCTGACCGAGGTTTGATCCTGGTACCCTATAAGGTTCCAAACCCTGCCAGAAAAGATCCCTGAACACAGAGCCAGGAGTAAGCCCTATTACTGTCTAAATATTAAAAATAGAATACTGAATGCTAGACTTAAGGGCTTTACCAGGATAGAGAAAATAAAATATATGATATCTTCTCTCAAAGAATTTGGAATCTATTTCGTCAAACCCCACAGTATCAGGCTTGGCCAAATATCTTATAGAAGAAAAATTTTATTATATAGACAGTTATGTAATGAACTATAGTTCTCTCATTTATTTTTTAAAAGGTATCTAAGGAGCATTTTTAAAGTGCCCAGCTATGTTCTGAAAGTTTGAAATATATCCACCAACCAAGACAAAGTAGATGGGCATCGAAGTTGGAGGTGAAAGACACTGAATAGCAAATACAATATAATGTCTGTGCAAATTGGACGAGAAAACAATAAAACAGTGGCAGGAGATAATGAGTTCTATAGACTAATACTGTAACTCAGTTCCTTCCTAAAGAAGTAGGGAGCCAGGCCCTTCTTAAGGAACTGTCTGAGGAAAGAGCATTCCAGGTAGAAGGTCCAGCAGCACACAGGTGAAGGGACTAATTGACTTACTGTTTCTTTTCTCAGCACATGTAATTAGAGTGACCTATAATTAGTCTATTCTAGAATGGCTGCATTCTCTCCACCACCTGAGCTTTTTCTCATTAGATCCTTCAAATCTCTTGGGTCACAGCTTGGTTCCCTGGCTGGAAAGGCTGCAGAAATTACATTCGAAAACTATGAATTACTCTCACATCAAAAGTTGTTGTGCTGGGAAAGGTACACTGGTGGAGGGGTGAGTGTTGGAATACTGTGTGCCTGAAATCTAATCGTGAGTAACTCTATAAGGGTCTATCTCACAGTGATTCAATAAAAAAAAATTAAAAGTTGTTGCTAAACTCCTCCCAGATAATGTCTTAATATATAAAGAGGAAGTTTTGCTACATGTCCATAGGATCCTAGGATGCTGAGAGAGGAAAAACAGGGCAGGGTTTGGAAATGAGTTAAAGAATCAAGGAACTTTTCATGGGTAAATATTATATGGCATGTGAAATCCCAAATAAAAGAATGTAATGTTTTAAATCATTCAGGTCATTGTCGAAAGGGCCAATGCAATGAAGAGAGAGGAAGAATATAGAACTGAGAATGGGGACCCTAACCCCCCAAAAAGCAAACGAAGGGTTTTCCTTGACTTGCTTTTAAATGTAACTGATGATGAAGGAAACAAGCTAAGTCATGAAGATATTCGAGAAGAAGTGGACACCTTCATGTTTGAGGTACTAATTCTGATTTATTTTACTATTTATGATTGCCCTGTCATTTGCAGGTTACTGTTAAACAAATTCAAGTTATTTTTTAAGAGCTTTGGGATTGTTTTGAAATTGTAAAAGCATTTTATGTAACAATACACTTCATAAAAAGTCATCTTCTTATGACAAGAAATTTCAAAAGTTAAGAACTTAACTCGACCCAGAAAATATTTTAAGTAGTGATTGTTACCTCTACTTAAATTATCTTTAAGTAAGGACTTTTTTTCTTTTTCTTTTCTTTTTTTTTTTTATGTAGGAGTACTGCTATTTATTCAGCCACTGATTAGCTGACTGATTTGGGCATGAACTCCACCTTACCTTTTTTTTTCATAGTTTTATTTATTTATTTTTCTTTTTATATTTATTTATTGAATCTCAGTGGGAAAAGTTACTAAGCTTTCAGGTTTAAGTCTCAGTCATACAATGATCAAACACCTCTCCCTTCACCAGTACTCATTTTTCACCACCAAGAACCCCAATATACCCCCCTCCCACCCCTCCCAATGCCTGTGAGGCAGATGATTTCCACTTAACTCTTCTCTACATTGATTACATTCATTATTTAGACAAAAGATGCACCATTATTGTTAGAATTCCGCCCCCCCCATCAACAATCAGAATTGCTGAAAATGAAAAGGCATCGTGAAATACTTTGTTTTCTATAGCTGGTTATGAGAATCATATAATGTTGCACGGCCACTACGAGATTGGTTTCTGTACGTTTGGTGTTATGGCTTGCTGGAGAGCTGCTCATGGGGGGAAACTCGTGACCTTGGTAGAGTGTGAAGGATGAGCCGGTACTGCCTCTCTTCCCATGAGACTGCAGTTGCCCTGTCACTGCCAGCTCATAACCTGGTTTTCCAATAAGCTCTGAGGCGATGGCCATTTTGCTGCTGGGGGGTGGGGGTGGGAGGGAGGAGGATGGGGAGAAAGGCGGAAAGGAGCAACACCCTTTTCTTCCTGGGGAGGCCTGGTGCCATAGTTTAACGGATGGTCCATTCACTTTTCTGACGCAAGCTGCCGGGCTCTGGATTAAGTCCTTTTGCCTTTGGAGCCATGGCTGTGCCAGGTTGCTGCTTGTGGGGGGCAACTTGTGATCTCGGTAGGGCATGAAGGACGAGCCGTTACCACCCCCCTTCCCATGAGACTGCAGTTGCCCCATCACTGCTGGCTCATACCTGGCTTTCCAATAAGCTCTGAGGCGGTGGCCACCTTGTATGTGATCCAGATGCATTTCTGCCAAAAGCCTCTGTGTTTCGAGATTTGTTTCTGAGTTTCTGGAATCATGGCTGTTAATCAGCTTGATCAGGAGCCACAGAGGTCGTTTGTAGGTGGTGACTCGGGGTCTCGCTAGGATGGGGTGGAAAGGGCCGGATCCACCTCCATCTGGTGAGGCCCCACATGTCTCATCACTGCAGGCCCAAACCTGACTGTCCAGTGGCCACTGGAGGATGGCGGTCACCGGTCCACCAAGGGAAACAAGCTAAGGCATGAAACCTATTCCCACCAGGAGTGGTCCAGCCCCAGTAACCTACTGCAGGAACAGGACGCGTTTCTGCCAAAAGCCTTTAGGTTCTGAGATTCATTTCTGAGTCTCTGGGATCATGGCCATTAAGCAGTTTGATTAGGAACCAGAGAGTCCATGCCTCCAATTATATAGCTGAGCTGGAGGTGGTTTGTGGGTGTGTCTCCCACATACCTAACTTTTGGCTGTTTACTTTCTTGGTAAACTTTGCCCCAAGTTTTTCAAGTCTGGCCAAAGGCACAGCAGCAATTTGGGGGTATCTGGAAGTCTGACGGTGCCATCAGGCTGCTGATGCACTCGCCTCACAGGTACAGATTGACCTGCTGGCGGCACCATACCTCCAGGACATTTTTCTTATGTTATAGTCACTCAGACTTTTTGTTTTGTTTTGTTTGGGGGGCCACACCCAAATGTCCCCAAGACTTACTCCTGGTTCTGAACTCAGGGATCACTCTTCTGTTTTTTTTTCCTTTTTGAGTCACACCTGGCAATGCACAGGGCTTGCTCTTGGCTTTGCACTCAGGAATTACCGCTGGTGGTGCTCAGAGGACCAAATGGGATGCTGGGAATCGAATCCGGGTTGGCTGTGTGCAAGGCAAACTCCCTACCCACAGTGCTATTGCTCCAGACCCCCACTCAGATTTTTCAGGAAAAAGAGAAGTCCCAAATTGTTCTCCATATTATTTTATATTTCCTGTTAATTTCCCAAACCTACATGTCTATTTCTGCATCATTTCCTTCTTGATATTCTACAATAACGTTGAGCACCCCCAGCCTGACTTCCTGTTCTTGGTGGCCAACGCCATAATATTCTGGCAGTGAGGGAACAAGAAGGGCATTAGAGCTTATGCTGATTTTGCTCCATCTGAATATTGTGTTAGCAGCTGCCTCTAGCCACTGCACACCACAAACACTGCTCCGGCATTGGCCAGGTTGCTCAGGTGCCCCGCCAGGTGTGTTCGGGATCTGCAAACCTGAGCTCAAGTTCTGATTCTGTGTTCACTAACCCCATGAAATGGCTTCAATCATTTCAGATTTCTGCTAGCTCCCCTGTCTGTGAAACAGAGACGTGGATGAGATCAGTGGGCCATCGTTCTTTGTGAAGTGGAGTGTACTTTATCAAAAAATAAATTTTTATGGAGAAACTAGACTTTAGGAAGTTGCTATAAGAAGTAGAAGTATGATAGGAGGGTGAGCTCTACACAAAATCTCAATTCTGACCCGCACGTAAGATCTGAGTGTATACCTTGGTTACCTAATCTGATCTGTGTGAGCCTCAGTGTGCTTGTTATTGCATGGTCTGACAGAACCATTATAAGGAACAGATGGATTATTATTTTTAAATACAATTGTCACGTATGATGGCTGGCACACAGTTAGTGACTATTATTGATGTTAAAATAAAGAGAACTTACTGCGTTTCTACACTGTAACACATACAAGCACAGGCAACATGGACACACCCACTCCTACACATACATACACTCTCCTAGACACACTGACGTACACAGGTTTATGTATGCACCTCCATCCAGATCTCTCCAGGAACATTATACTTTCATTAAAGCTGATGAAGTAACCTGTCTCCCAGACTTATCATTCTTTGGAATTCTAATATATTTCTTCCAGACATGAATAGGAATGTATCACGATGTCTAAAAGACTGGGGTCTCCTCCAGTAGCCAGATGCAGGCTGTTTCTGCCACGCATGCCTTTCATGCCCAGATATACACAGCTCAGCAGATATACCCTGCCCGTCCCATGAGCAAGCTTCCGTAACTCTGGACTTTCTGTTCTGCTTCATCCTCCTTTTGGGGGGGCGGCAGACAGAAAGAAATAGAAGTTTCTCAGAGTTCTCATATATCTGAGTCACTCTTCCCCTTATAAATTCAGTAAAAGCTGCTAAAACTATTAGAGAACTTCCTTCTCTTCCCTTTCAAGGGCTCTTCTTTCTGAGGTTTTAGCAAACAATTGGTTGCCAGGAGTCAGATCTTGACTGGAGATCAGAATAAGTGTGAAAAAAGTGCAGTGACACGAACCTCAGGCCTTTGTAAAACACGGATTTAAAAATATAGAATATATCACAAGCAATTGATTTGTTTTATGAAGCAAATGTGCCAATGATGTAAATGGAATGAAATATAGCAGTGACCAATATGGCAGATTCCACAAGAATGGAATCTTGTCGTCACAGAAAAAAAAAAGATTGACATGTTTCTGTTTTTTTTTTATAAAAGTCTTACTTATAGTTAACATTTATTACTGATATTTCAATTTTCCCCCATGTAAAACCACTGATTTTCCATGGGGAAATATCATGGTGAGGTAAGGGCAGGGACTAAGGGCTCAAGTCTGAAAGATGGAACAGGCAGAGACAAAAGGTATGGAGGGGTCCTCAGTCCATCACTGCACCCTCATAGAGAGGAGAAGGGAGGGTACCGCTCTTTATCCAACTCAGGACTCTGTTATAACTCTTGTGGCACAGGGGATCCTGACAACACAGAATAGCCTGTGGTGATGTGGGATGCCACCAGGATTTGAGCTCAGGGTCTCATGCTTGAATGAGAGGAGCCCCACTGCTGAGGGTCTTATATTTTTACCTCTGTCTTTTGCTAAGCTGTGTGGATCCAGGCAAGTTATTTATCTTAAAAGAAACTATTGAAGTAATGCTGATATGTCCTGTGATAGAAGTTCAGTTTGGGCTCAGAGCAATATAAATATCTGATATATTTACACTTGCCACGAAAAGGAAGAAAGTGGTTCCCATGCCTCACGATACAATGGACTCCTTTGTTCCCATTCTAGTCACCCATTCCTATCGGACAGCTACTATTTTGTTCTTGTTTGTTTACTTTGCTTCATTTGCCTTTCCATTCCTGTGTAATATAGGAAAAAATGAGTTAAACAAAACAAAAGTAAACCATTATACTCTAAAACCAATTAGTGGTTCCCAGAAGGCAAGGGAGGAAAGGGGGTTGTTGGTAGTCAGGTAAAAGGTAACAGTTGCCTGCTGAAATTGGACTTTATAGTGGTGCACTGTCATCCACTGTTGCTCAATGTTATGAAAGAATAAAAGGCAGTCTGTCTAGTGCTTCAAGCTCCCTTGGAATTCCACCTTGTCAGCATAGCAGAGCCACTTCTCATAAACTGTGTCACACTGCATAGCGCTAAAAACTTTCCTAAACACAGAAATCCTCTTGCCGGGATTGTTTTGTTTGTTTCTTGCAGGAGAGGATCCAGTGTACAGAATTCACAGGTTGGCTTCTATAGTCACATTACTCCTGTCAAAGCGAGAGACATTTTAAAAAAACTATTAATATCAGCATAGCAATGCTTTTATTTATTTATTTTTTAATGTAGGAGTGCTGCTATTTATTCGGGCATTGATTTAGGTGATTGAATTGGGCGTGAACTCCACATTACTTTTTTTTCTTTAGTCAGAATGTTAATTTTATTTTACAATTTTTTTACTGTTTCTTTTTTATCACTGTGAGATATAGTTACAAAGCTTTCCTGTTTGACTTTCAGTCATACAATGATCGATACATACAATGACCCAACCCTCTACCCGTGCACATCTTCCACCACCAATATGCCCAGTATCCCCCCTACATCTCGCCCCTCCCCGTGACTCTATGGCAGACATTCTCCCCCATACTCTCTTTTGTATTCATAGCGGTGCTTTTATGCTATTTTTCTTTCCATTTGTAGGGTCATGACACCACCGCAGCTGCAATAAACTGGTCCTTATACCTATTGGGTTCTTATCCAGAAGTCCAGAAAAGAGTGGACAAGGAACTGGAGGAAGTGTTTGGTATGTTTGGGCTCTTCACTGTGGGAGCCGTATTCCCTGAAACTGGTGTTGTTTCTGCTCCGTAGGAAGCTTACCGGAATCTGGGGAATCCCTTCTAGTACCTTCCTCTGCCAAGCCTCCTCTGCTCAATTCCAGGCACGTGCTCATGACCTCTCTTATTAATTCAGAGGCATGGGTACCGAAGACCCTTTACACATTCACTTTGTTTTCTGTTATCTCTATCTCAATCCAAAACATTTTTGCACCCCCAAAAGGAAATGATGTACTATAAATCAGCCATTTCCCATCATTTCTTCTTCCCCTAGCTCCGGGCAGCATCAACTTACTTTCAGTCTCTATAGCCTTGCCTAGTCTAAGCACTTCCTATAAATGGAATAATTCAATATGTTATCTTTAGTGTCAGGTTTCTTCTACTCAGCATGTTTTCTCATTCTATGGTGATTGTGTCTAATATTCAAAATATCATTTGATTTGTATGTATTTGATATTCAGTATTTCGATTGATATATTCTCCTTTGATGCTTCATCTTTCAACTCAAATAGTTCATTGGCTATCACAATACGTATTTACTTTAATCAGGGAAATCGGATCGTCCCGCTACCTTAGATGACCTGAAGAAACTTAAGTATATGGAATGTGTTATGAAGGAGAGTCTTCGCCTTTTCCCTTCTGTGCCTTTATTTGCTCGTCATCTCAATGAAGACTGTGAAGTTGGTAAGTATTCTGTCACTGGAATAGGTGAGATGGGAAGCTTTTTTTTTTTTTTTTAAGCTTGCCACTACATTTTTAATAGGTTTTTAAATTTTTTTTTCCATTTTTTTTTATTTATTTTTTTACAGTTGTAGATTTACAATTTTTTTTGTGCTTGGGTTTCAATTATACAATGATCAGATACCCATCCCTCCACCAGTGCCCGTTTTTCACCACCATGGATAATATCCCTCCCACCCCCATCCCCCCATCCCCCCCTGCCTCTGTGGCAGGACAATCCCCTGTGTTCTCTCTCTCTCCGTTTGGGTGTTGTGGTCTGCAAAAGAGGCATTGAGTGGCAAACATGTTCAGTCCATAGTCTACTTTCGACATGCATCTCCCCTCCTGGGAGGATCCTCCAAACATCCTTTATTTGGTGCTCCCTTCTCTATCTGAACTGCCCTTTCCTCTAGGATACCCGGCTGGCCTCTAAGCTATGGAGTAATTCTCCTGGTGCTGATCTCAGCTATTCTTGGGTATTAATCTCATACTTTGTTACTTTATATCCCCCAGATGAATGCAATCTTTCTATGTCTATCCCTCTCTTTCTGACTCATTTCGCTTAGCATGATACTTTCCATATTGTACCACTTGTATGTAAATTTCATGACTTCATCTTTTCTAACAGCTACATAGTACTCCATTGTGTAGATGGAGATGGGAAGCTTTTATTGTCTATTCTGCTCTGTTCTCCTGACGTGACTTATTGTTTACTTCTGGATAGCGGGTTACAAAATCGTGAAAGGGTCTCAAGCAATCATCATCACCTATGCACTGCACAGAGATCCAAGATATTTCCCAGATCCTGAGGAATTCAAACCAGAAAGGTTCTTTCCTGAGAATTCCCAAGGACGCCACCCATATGCCTACGTGCCCTTCTCTGCTGGACTCCGAAATTGTATAGGTTTGTATCCATCAAATTGGCATTGACCTACTGCTCTTCATATACACACTTATGCTATGTAGTGTCCTATTTAAGACAGCTTTTCAAAATTTGTTTCACTTTTCCTCCATTTTACATTATTGCCTTGAACTTATTGTCATATACTTTGTTATTTTCTAAGATTTCCTAAGATTGTCATAACCAAAAACTATAGGTGTGGTAGCTTTAACTTTGGAAATGAATTAATTTTTTCAAAGTCCTGGGGACTAGAAGTCTGATATCAACATGTTTATAAGGTTGTTTTCTTTGAGGATGCTTTATTTGATTCTCTTCTTCCTGTATCTCTACTGGTTCTTCCTCTGTATGTTTATGTGTTCTAGTCTTCTTTTCTTAAAAAGCACAATCACATTTTATAAGGACATGAGTCAGATTGTATTGGGGTTCACAACTGTGAGCTCATTTAATTTCATTTTCCCATTATAGGCCTTGTGTACCAGATACCACATTCTGAGATGCTTGAGGTTAACAATATGAATTTAGGGGTCATAAGATTCAGTCCATAATAACATAATGCATAGTCAGTTATCTGTAAAGTTTTAAACTGTTACAGACTTTTGCTTAAAGAAGACTACATTACATATTTTAGAAAATTATTTTAAGTGTGTGTTAAATCCAACATAATTTCTATATTTGTTTCTTTGAATTGCATTTTGCAACACAAAAGAAAGAACACCATCATATGGTCAGGTGGAGTATTCAAACAAAATAAAACACACATCACCATGCATTATAAATACTTCCAGCTTCAGTATCTTTCATATTTTGTCATTTACAAAAATGTAAGTATCATCAAAATGAGGTGAGATCTAGTGGATGAATATTGTTTGGTGATTCTATAGTAGACTAAAGACTCGATACGAAAGCACCCTAGAGCTGGGGAGAGAAAGTCCACTGGGTAGGGTACTAGCCTTGCCCATGGCTGATCCTCAGTGCCACATATGGTCCCCAAAGCACAACCAGGAATGATCCTTGAGCACAGAGTCAGGAGTACATTCTGAACCCCACTGAATGAGCCTAACTGAAGAAAAAATAAGAAAGCAATCCAAAGTAGTGATTTTCCTACATCAATGCCCAGGATTGATCTGGGGTGCTACTAATATACAGATTCCCAGGCCCACACCAACTACTAAGATACACCAGATGGGAGCAGTAAATGATAATCAAGAATCTTTTTTTTAATGACAATTATCCCACTTGACTACGATGTTCTAACTACCACTGTGAATATAAAATGTAACTCACTTCTTCCAATAATCTTGTTAGTTCTCACATTTCAGTTATAATTTTAACTAAAGTGAGGATATTTACATTAATTTGAAGGTCAAAAATTTGCCATAATGGAAGAAAAGATCATCCTTTCCTGTATCCTGAGACGATTCTGGGTAGAAACTACACAAAAGAGAGAAGAACTTGGTCTGGCAGGAGAGCTTATACTTCGTCCAACTAATGGAATCTGGATCACGCTGAAGAGGAAAAACACAGATGAATCCTAGCTCTGTGATGGGGCTGTGCCCTTGTCACAAAAACAAAAACAAAAAGGTCTTTCCTTGAAAAAACACTGAATTTATAATGTGTAGATCATGAATTCAATAATTCTGATCCCTAGGCCTTATCTTATCCTCACTTATCTTGAGGTCAAATCTACCAAAGAGTGACTTTTTATACTTTCATCATCACCACATATTACATTAATGTTGTAATTAATTAATGTCCATACCAATATAGACATATAAAGGTTCCCCAATAGAAGCATCCACAGGGAATTACTATTTCAGCTGATGAACTCAAAAGAACTGGAACTGTAGTTCCAGATTTTTAAAAAATATTCTTGTTGGCTTGAGAATGCATATATGTGACGTGTGTGTGTGTGTGTGTGTGTGTGTGTGTGTGTGGTGTACATATTTAATTTGAAAGTTTCAATTAAGTAATTTTATTGAAGGAGTTTAATTTTTTAAATTAGATCAGTTTCAGGGGCCAGAGCAATAGTACAGTGGGTAGGGTATTGGCTTTGCATATACGGCAGACCCAGGCTCAATCCCCAACATCTGATATGGTCTCTAACCAATGCCAGGAGTAATTCCTGAGGGAAGAATCAGGAATAACCTCTGAGCATCATCAAGCGTGACCAAAAAAGCAAATAAAAATTAACAAAATTAGATCAATTTCATCAATAATGAGAATGATTATAACACTTTAGATTTTATAATATAGAGTACATATATTATTTGTAAGTTTCTTCCAATACCTTGATATTAGAGGCACGATTGGAAATAAAAGAGATCTAGCCTCTCAGCCTCATTTCCAACTTGACTACACTTTATACTGCAATATGCCACTATCATATGGGTTTCATGTTCAGATGTGTCTGTATGGATCATCTGTCTCTGAACTCTGGAATATTATTTCTAGAATTCTTGGATCTATAAAAGAAAATAGAAGCTATTTTCCTATATTGATAAATTCTGTGATATCTCAGTTACCTTAGACTTCTGGTAAATTCTTTTTTTTTTTAATTTTTTTTTTATTAGTGAAACACCATGAGGTACAGTTGTAGATTTACAATTTTGACTTCTGGTAAATTCTATCTTCTCTAACATACTTAGCAAACTCACAATATATATACATTCCCTACATTGGAATTCCAGGGGCATCCCTACTAATTTTATCTAGATATGTTTTTGACAAAATTATTTCTTCAGTTTCCTCAAGAAAATATAATATAGAAACAACAAAACTAAGAGTATGAATGTATATTCTTCAATAAAAATCAAAGAAGAGGCTAGAAGACTAGGGACATTTGTCAAGCACCATAGTCAGAAGGGATGTGGCAGGGGAAGGGAGGTGGAGAGAGGATGGTGGGAGGCATGAACAACTTTGCCACTGTATATTTCATGGTGATTCAGTTAAAAAATAAAATAATAAAGTATATATTCCCCACACACACACTCACACACACACACACACACACGAATGCTCAGGGCCAGCCTTTTCATCCACTTTATTATGCTAAATATTCTCAGTGTAGATGCCAATTATCTTAGAATCTCTAAGGTAATGAAACAAGTCAATAAGACACATGTAGGATGATCTTATTATATGTCACATGTAGAAAATCTCCCTCTCAAATGACTTTGGAAAAGTAAAGTTTTATTTATAGAAATCAGTATTATTTTTCAATGTTAAACATATTTACCCTTGCTTTTAATTTTATTAATTCTATGCTTGATGTGAAAATTAAATTAAAACACGTTAAATGCTTTACTAAGGCATGAACTCTTCATTTTTCCCAGAAAAATTTATTTAAATTGGAAATTCACTTGACTGCATCAATGTTGAAATTGAGAAATTGTGTTATGTTCCACAGTATGGCCCTGTGGATGCTCATTTGATATAAATAAGCCGATGATCAAATATTTGCTTATATCCATACAGCCTGTCCTCCTTCTCCTTGAATGAGTTAGCTCAAAAAAAATTACATTTTAAACACAGATGCTATGTTTTATTTAAAGAATCTGTCAAGTTGATGCAAAGCTAATATATAAAAAGCTAAAATAGTGAGCATAAAGATTATTCACAATGAAATGGACAGAAATGGCACTCAAGTTGATATTATCAGGGTGACTCAGACATTCTAACAAAATGCTCCGTGTGTCACTATTATAGATAGACTCATTTTCAGATATCCCCGACTCTGAAATACTACAACATTCAGCTCAAAACAAAGTAAAATCTCTTTGACCTGCCTGGGAATCAGCTGAAATCATAGGCATCTATATCTTCTTACAAATGCGACTTTAGCCTTCTATTAATTCTGACCTCCCTGAATGTTTGCCTCGTTACCAGCACAGTGGCAGCTGTTCTCCTAAAATAGGAGAAATGGACATGGTGGTGAGGAGGTGGTGAGGAGGGTTATCTGGGGCAGGGCAGGGAAGCAGGGTCAAGGGAATTTGCGTACTTGGGTAGCATAACAGTGGTTGGTATAGCTAAAAAAAGCTAACCAGAGTCAATAACACTAAAAGCATGAAATCCAAACTTTTTTCTTTTTTGCATTTTGGGTCACACCCAGCGATGTACAGGAGATATTCCTGGCTCTGCTCTCAAGAATCACTCCTGGCAATTTTGCTCCATGGCTTGGAGGCCAGCCACACATGCTAGTGGAAAAGGGAGCTCAGATAGAGAAAGGAGCACCAAATAAAGGGTGTTGGGAGGATCCTCCGAGGATGGGAGATGCATGCTGAAAGTAGACAATAGACCAAATATGATTGCCACTCAATGCCTCTTTTGCAAACCACAGTGCCCCAAAGGAGAGAACAAAAGGCAATGCCCTGCCACAGAGACAGGGTGGGATGGAGGGGATGGGGGGTGGGAGGGATACTGGGACCCATGGTGGTAGAAAATGGGCACTGGTGGAGGGATAGGTGCTTGATCATTGTATAACTGAAACCAAGCACAAAAATTTGTAAGTATACAACTGTACTTCATGGTGTTTCACTAATAAAAATTAAAAAATAAAAAAAAATTACTCCTGGCAGTGCTCGAGGGACCATATGAGATGCTGGGAATTGAACCCTGGTCGGCCACCTGCAAATCAGGTGCTCTACCCAGTGTGCAATCGCTACAGCCCCAGTATCCAAACCTTAACAAGCAAACTTAATAATGTGCCTGTCAAGGTGGCAGACTGTGGGGAGCAGATGGGGGGCTGGGAGGGAACCTGGAAACACTGGTGGAGGGAAGTTGATCTGGTGGTGGGAAGGATGATGGAAGATTGTATATTTAATACTCAACCATGAGCAGTTTTGTAAATCACAGTGCTTTAGTAACATTAAAAATGTGTACTTCTATTCTGCTAACAGATTTTTATTTTAGTAGTGTGTGTATATGTATATACAATTATAATTGTGTTTGTGATATATGTTATAAAATATAGCAACTCTCACAAAAGGCAGAGAAGAGTCCAATGAGTGCTTATTCTTAGGGACGTTAAATGCTCAAAAGGCACAAACAGCAGAAATCCTTTTTTGAGCAAGAGCTGGCGACCACAGATTTGAGAGACTGAGCAGGCATTGTAGGTTCATCTTTCATCCCTGATGAGCACATTTGGCTTTATCACTACTTTATCAGAGAAACAGAGCACTCCCTCCCCTCCTCTTCTATTTAGGAGACCACAAAAATCCTAAATTCTCCAGGCAGTCAGATCCTCCTCCTTATCTCCTCCCTCACAAATTTCCCAGAATCCCCTAAAGATTCTCCTTCATTCGCTCACCCCAGATATACCCAGTGGCAACACTCTTGTCCCAAGGCACTGTCACTTCAGATAAATGTCATTATCTACTGTGAGAGTTGTTTTATTGTGCAACAAATTAACTACAGTCTTGGAAGTTTTAAATGACATTAATTTATTTCTTCACAGTTCCCTTACTCAGTAAGGTTCTGTGTTTTCTCTCTCAGAAGGCCAAAACCGAGGTGTGGAGGTTCTGGGGAAGACTCCTCCCCAAGCATATTCAGTTTGTAGGAAATTATCAAATCAATTCCTTGAGGCTGGAGGCCTGAACACTCAGCTTCCTTTCAGGCTCAGAATCAGGCTCAGAGACAGTCTCCACACTAGCAGCGGCTCCTGGCTCATTGTCCCTTGGTTCCTCTCTCTCAGAGTCAGCGATGGGGAGTTTTCATTTTCCAAACCCTCTCACTCTTTTTATGTCTTTGACTTCTCAAGTCAATAACTAAAGAAAGCTCTCCTCTTAGATTAGCTCAAGAGATGACACTAGGCCCAACATGATAGTCTCCATTTTTAGTAGCCAAAATCAGCAGTTTAGTTACATCTTTCAAATCTTTATCATATGCAGTCACCAGGATTAGAGTGGGACATTTCTTTTTAATTATTTTTTAATTTATGGCCCGGCTGGAGCAATAGCACAGCGGTAGGGCGTTTGCCTTGCACACAGCCAACATAGCCGACCCAAGTTCGATTCCTCCGCCCCTCTCGGAGAGCCCGGCAAGCTACCGAGAGTATCTCGCCCACACGGCAAAGTCTGGCAAGCTCCCCGTGACGTATTCGATATGCCAGACACAGTAACAAGAAGTCTCACGATGGAGACGTTACTGGGCCCGCTCGAACAAATCGATGAACCGCAGGAGGACTGTGATCGTGACCGTGAATTTATGGCCACACCTGGAGATGCTCAGAGTTTTATTCCTGGCTCTGGCACTGGAATATCACTCTTGGTGGGGCCTGGGGGACCATCTGGGGTGGTAGAAATCAAACCCAGATCAGCTGCTGCAAGACAAGTACCCTGCCTGCTGTACTATCTCTCCAGGCCCCCAAACATGCATATTTCAATTAAGCTATTCAATAACAGTAAATATTTTTGGCAACACTAGTCTACATTTTTAATAAGTAAAATTCTTTATTGTAATGACATAAAAACATTTAAAAATCAGCTCCCTAAAATAACTGTTTTTTTTGGGGGGGGTGGAGTCATACCCGGCGATGAACAGTGTATGACTCCTGGCTTTGCACTCAGGAATTACTCCTGGCGGTGTTCAGGGGACCATATGGGATGCTGGGAATCGAACCCGGGTTGGCTGTGTGCAAAGCCCTACCCGCTGTACGATCACTTCAGCGCCTCCCTAAAATATCTGATTTACTAGTCTGAAACTATGCCATAATCCTAAGAAAACCAATTGGAAAACAAAGATTTAGTGGACAAGTAATGATATCTTTAAATATTTTAAAAAGTACAAAAAGAAAAATTAATTTTTATGGATTCTAGCAGGAAGATCTAAGAACGAAGGATGGAAGTTGACAAAAGGCATATTTCAGTACACATGAGAACTTCTTAAAGCTAATAGAATTCCTTAAGCAGGAACAGGCTCCAACTACTACAATATCTCAGTTCCAGCACTGAGTGTAAGGAGGATCTCACAGACCAATTTCCTTCCATACTTCCAATTTCAGTACTAAGTAATTCTTTGACTAGGCTAAGGAAGGCTTCTCCACAATTTGCAGAGAAATCCTCCCAGTTTGAGCTATCCATGTCACTTTGACTGGGCTATATATTCAGGTCATTAAAAGAGAGGGAAGTGCCATTAGATTAGATTTATGTCACTGTTGGAAATGCCAGTAGTGGAAACATTGCCAATATTTTAGAAGATAAAAATCTTGTACATAAATTGTGTGGCCACAAAATGAAAGAGTTAATATATTCAGCGGTTCAAAACAGAATGAGACCTTCTTAGATTATGTTGACAGGACAAAAGATCAAAACAGTTGGCAGAAAACCAAAGTCAATATTGGAGCCAAGCAAATACTGCCTGCTGAGCACTGCATTAGGAAAGCCCGAAGATCATCCATTTTTAAGTGGCGAGAGACACTCACCTCCAGAACCACAGTAACGGGGTGCTTGCAGGTAGAAAAACTTTATTCTGATTGCTTCCAAATTTTAGTTTTATTAAACACAGTTTATACTTTGTGAAGAAACTTTAGTTTACACTCTTCGCTTTGTATTTTTTTCCTGTTATACTCTTTTGTTCTCTGTTATACTGTATGGAATGAGAAGGAAACGTTGTTCTTACATATGGAGATATGGAAATGTTTAAGCAATATGGCATTTTAAAAGCAAATAGATACAGACTGGTCTAAAAATAAAAAACTTGGAGTGGGATATTTCTTAGGATGTCAAGACTTGTAATATTGCCATTTTTACAGGAATTTTCCTTCTGCTAAAATCAAGTGATTTCATACATGTTTAATTTCCTTTATCAATTCTTTTTATAGTTATTATATAAGTGAACAATAACGCAACACTAGCCTAGAGTGTTCAATTTGCATGTTGTGCCACGTGACTATGCAAAATGTACAGAAAATACTTGCCTTCTGTGCTGATAATTGTGTGTTGGTTTGCGACCTGAACATTTACATGGAAAATTTCTGTCATCTAAACTTAAGTTTCATGTTAACTACGATCTGCAACCAGGAGAGTCATACACTTCTTTCTTTCTTTTTTTAGGATGATTTCTTTCAGGCAAGCAGCCTATTTTACTTGCTTCTTTGCTACGGTATCCTGTGGTAAGTGGAGTGTCCAGACATAGAGCTAGGAGTGTGTGAGAGAGTGGTCAGCAAGAAAAGGGCTGAGAGCAAGAGGCAGGCCTTGACAAATAAGGTTACACATCCTTTCAATCTCATATGTATGCTTGAAATACTACAGAATTTAGGCCCCTGAGCTTAAAAATGAGACTAGTTTGGAGCATGTGTTAGTAGGAAGCCATTCCTTGCTTTATTTCTTTTGGTTTTTTTAAAAAATAAGTTTTATTGGATCACTGTGAGATAGTTACAAACGTGCATGATTATATTTCAGTCATACAATGTTGGAGCACCCATCTCTCCACCAGTGGTCTATTTCCCACCATCATTGTTCCCAGTGTCCTACCTGCTACCCCCACCCCATCCCACTCCTTGCCTCTGTGGCAGGCACATTCCTTCTTACTCTCGCTCTAATTTCGGGCATTATGGTTTGCAAGACAGATACTAAGAGGCCATCATATTTGGTCTTTGGTCTATTTTCAGTACATATCTCCCACCCTGGGAGATTCCTTCATTATCATTTAGTTGGTGGTTCCTTCTCTAACCCAACTGCCTTTTCCCCCAGCACATGGGGCCGCAGGAAGGCATTTCTGGTTGCAAATAATTCTCTACAAAGTGCAGCATATCATAAAGTAATTATTTCTGATAATTCAAGAGGGCTAGGCATCTCAGACTATCTGGGTCTAACCCAAGTGTCAGAGTTGGCATCATGGAGATGTCTTTCAGAGCATTAGGGAAACATTTCAGAGAGGAAAACACCTAGTTTGAACTGAATTTAGTAAATTGCTCATTTGAATGATTCTAATTTCAACATCATATTTTGATCATCCCACTTCCTTAAATCAACAAGGATGATTCTACACACTTTAATCATGTGCAGCAGAGTTTTCCTTGTTCCACCATTTTGGTTGGATTTTGAGTCTGTGTTGGCTTAGATTACCCACACCACCGTGATTGCATGATTAAAATAAACACCTCTTGGTGAAAGAGTTAAAAA